GTGGGGCTTTCTTGGGTGAGAAGTTTAATTACCTGAATGCAGCTCAACAAATATTTACTGAGCCAAAATTTTGTGCATAATATTGTGTCTGTGTAAGATATCGGGTGCAGGGCCTGCCCAATAAGAACAATTAAAATGTTGATAGTAACCCCTTATCAAAGCTGCTACTTCCCCGTAATAAAAACATTTCTCCAAAAAGAGACGTTAATACCTCTTCTCCCAAGAAATGAGGCCCAATAGCCTCATAGTGAAAAGCATGTGTTCTGGTTCCAGAATGGCTCGTTTTCCACCTCTCCTCTGTTGCTCACTGGCTGAGTAATCCTGCAGGAATGACGACTTTCTGTACCTCGGTTTACTCACGCCAAGACAGTAACAGTCTTTGTGTCACAGGGCTGTCGTGAGTATTGGACGACTTACCCCGGGTAAAGTGTGCGGAACAGCACCTGGCACAGAGCACATTCGGAGGCACTTGTAAATGCCTTGGATTTAAAATAATGAAAAAGGCACTTACTACCTAACATCAAATTCGCTTAAATACCGCAGGGGACTAAACAAGTATTTAGGCTTAGCTCCAGATTGCAGAATGACATGTTATTGTATTTTTTTCTATATGTTTATTGATGTTTTCTTAATGTCCTGCAATTAATAAGTAACCCTTCCACAAGAAGAACAGAGTCATGCAGATTAGACCTTTAGCTATAAGGAATAATATATTGTTTGTTTATATAGTATTTAAAGGTTTAGAAAAATTAGCATAATTCTTTTGAATCGCAAACTATCCTGCCGTTCTTCCTCCTGAGCCAGTGGGAACAATGGCTGAGGGTGTGGATGGGTAAACTACTTTCCCATGGCCTCAGCTACGGTATTAGAGTTGGTCTTCTGAGTGGCTGGAGCTTTTTCCCTTTGCTTTCTATCTGCAATGTAACATACAGAAATTCAATTTACGGACCTTCTTAGTGACATTTCAAAGCCCCTTTAGAGAATTGTAACATGCTAATGTGTCCAGGAGCGCTTGGAATTCTTGTCTTCTACGAGAGGAGTCAGTGCTCTGCAGAGAGCAGCCCAAGTTCCCCGCCCCAGCCGGCCTTTCTCATGCAAGCTTCCTCGCCAATGCTGAAATCCATGACAAAGCCAGGAGGGCTCAGGCAGCGCGGGGGTCCTCTGGGCCAATTCAGATGGATGCCTCCGAGCCAGTTTTCGATTTCAGAAAGCCCGCACTACCTGGAGAAATGCCCAACGTGGGGTGGCCAGGGCTCTAAACTTAGCTCTGCCCGGTCTCACCTGGAAGATCCTAACAAGTCACTTTTCCTTCTCTTTCGTGAGGTTCTTTCCATCTCAAAAGCCATTGTATTGCTCTAAGCTTGCCTCTCTCCAAGGAGAAAGGTAAGAAAGGGCTTGGCTAATGATTGGTTGCTGACGCATCAGGAGCTGTGACGTCACCTTCCGGGACCCCGAGCCACCGTCTCTGCTGCGGGAGCGCAGGGAGGAGCATTTAACACCCAATTACCGCCTCCATCCTCCCTCCTCCATCCTCGCGGGGTGGCTCCGTCGCCCGCAATTTCCCCTGGAGTTTCACTAATCTGATATTCATCTTCCCTCCTAAATTGTTGTTTTTACCTTTCTTTCTCCATTCTTTCTCATTGTCCTCGTAACTCAAGTGGGAATTCTCTGGATGCTTACAGAGGATTGAGGACTCCAGGGTAGGGGAAAGACTTAAGAAAATACCGCATACAAGATACTGGTAAAATGGGGAAGGGAGGAGTAAAAACATAACGAACAATTGGGTTTTTTCCCTAATCACTGGAATATTCTTTTGTCATTCTTTACCGAGTGGACCAGTTACTCTGACTGCTTTATTTTTTTAGCATGGAAAATATTTGTACTAGTCCAACCATTGGAGGCCCCGGCAAAAACAGGGGCCAGGAGTAAGATTCTTTTCATGTGTATCTGTACCTTTTCCTTTCCATCATACAAGAGTTAAAAGTTGTTTACACCTACGGTATCTTCTTCAAGTACTGTGGCATGGCGTGAGATTAGAGTGGTAAGAAAACACAAGGCTTGGGGAGAGCTCGCCAGGTGTCCATCCTCTTCTTCAATCCTCACAAGAACCGACCGAGACAGGGACTGTTATTCCCTTTTCACAGGTAAGGAAACTGAGGCAGGAGGAGGCTGAGTAACTAGCCCCAGAGCTGAGTACTGTGGCCAGAATGCAAATCCAGACTTATCCTCCTGGGCGCAGAGCCGCAGCTCTTAATCACGACAGCACAAATGACCACAGACAAGGAGCTGGGCTGGAAGTAGCTGGTGACTAGCTGGGGACCACAGAGCAAGGTGCAGTTGACTAGGAGTAGGACCCAGGGTTGCTGAACTTCAGTATAGTATATTTTTCTGTCTCTGTCTCTCTCTCTCACACACAGAACCCAGTCCTTCTTTGACTCGCTGGGTCTATAGCACCACTTTTTTTTTTTTTTAACATCATTGTATTTATTTCCCTACAGGTTAATTTTTCTATAGTTTCAACATTTTCTCCTCAAAATTAAATGACAAAAAGAGTCCCAAAGGTTAGAACTGGATCGCTTGGCCTTTTCTTTTCTTATCTCCTCCCAGTTCAACATGCTTGCATCTCTTAATGGCCAGTATCCTCTTGGATCTGCAGTTAGGCTCAACACATTCCAGCCTTAGCACAATCTTCTTTGTGGTTTTAGCCTTCTTCCGGAAAATTGGCTTTGTCTGCCCACCATAGCCACTCTGCTTCCGATCATAGAGCCTCTTTCCCTGGGCACACAGGGAATCCTTGCACTTCTTATACTGGGTCACTTTGTGAGGTTGATGCTTGCCACACTTCTTACAGAAAATTCTTCGCGTTTTAGGTACATTGACCATCTTTACTGTACAGCTGTCTGTTTATACAATGAAATCGGGAAACTTGGCGTTCGCAACCCTTGCCTCCCGCCGCTCTCGCTAACAGGAAAAAGGAGCACCACTTTTTAATAAACAGTTGATGCCATGCATTTATAACTTGGGGGCCAGCACCTATCGGACATGCACATGGGGTGAAGGGACTTAACAGAGAGAGCTGCGTTAAGTCAATGCAACAAAGCTTTACTGAACATCAACTGTCCGATAGGCCTCGTGTGAGGTGCTGGAGATGCTGAGATTAATGAGACAACGCTCCTGCCTCTGAGAAAGCAGTTTAAACAGAGGGGACACGAACCCAGCCATCCCCGTAAGCAGTTGTATAAACACAAGTGATAAATGCAGTTTCAGAGGCAGAGTCCAAGGGTTAACACTCCCCCCAAAAGGCAAACAGGTTCAGCAGCAAGCCCACCCCCTGTCCTCCTGATTCAGGGTCAAGCTGTCACTGTAGGAATCCCGGTGTGCTGAGGTGGCCGGCAGAAAACCCTAGGGTGGAGACCTGAGTACCTAGAGCCTTTAGGGTTGGGCCGGGCCCTTGTTCCCAGATACGGGAACACTCAATGCAGAACAGGACGGCCTTTGGTGAGCTCTAGGCAGTGCGCCTCATGGTCACCCAGGCCTGGCAGCTGTAAAGCCAGCGCTCAGACCAGCCATACAGCACACTCCCCGTCACCGACAGCTCCTAAATCTTTGTTGACCTAATGTGGTGATCTCATTCATAGGTTCACAGTTAAGGATGCCTTCCAGGTGCTTAATGAGCAGCTGTGTCACCCAAATGTGGATGCAGAGGGAGGAGTCAAGGGCCTGGGGCCAAACGCCAACGTTACAACAGCACCACTTACTAGCAGAGTTTCGCAAGCCAGTTAGTTACTTGACCTTTCTGTCCCTCAGTTTTCTCACCTGTAACACTGGAAAAATTCCTGCTACAACTGAAGAAAAGTATGGTGGGGGGACATGAGATAATGTACATTAAGAATCTTATAGTATGAATAGGCATTCAAGATAGATTCTATTAGTGTGTGTTAGATATATTCTCACAGATGTATCTACATAATCTGCCTAATAAATATGACATATAGTCATATATCTAATTATATATCTAATAAATATAATAATACATTAAATCTAATATTCATCAGACTTAAACAAATCTAATAATTTATTTTAAAGTGAAAGTTGTCCCGAATTTTATCTAGCGAAGTGATTTTTAATATATTTTTCCTTCTTGGGTTCTTTAAATGCCGTGTAAATGCACTGAGAAGGCGCTATGCAGAAAGGGTGGAATTAAAGGGGGAAGGTTTAATAAAAGTGATTCTATTCAATATACCCGTAAATATAAAACACCTTGTCTATTTGGCTTCAAATAGAATATGTGAACCAGTGATTTAAAACATTTATAATGAGAATTTTCAAACATATAGAAAAACAGAGTCCAACGAGCCCATGCTCCAGCACGCAGCTTCAGCGAGCAGTAGTTCGTGGCCACTCCGGTTCATTAACAGCCGACCCACTGACTTACCTTCAAACAAATCTCAGAAGCACCATGCCAGTGATTTTAAAATTTCCCTGTTTATATATCTACACCAAGACAGAGGAACTGTGTGGCCAGTGACTTTCACGGATTAATTTATGTTACATTTCATTTGTAAAGGTCAGATCAGATGTGACGAAGTTTCCCAGCATCCCACAGAGCCGGGTCCCTTTGCAGCTGGCCAGGAGGACTGCTCTGCCCTGAGATCCACTCCACGCCAGCCCTCTCCACGCCAAGCATTTTCAAGGAAAATAAGTCGCGGAGAGGTGAAGTATTTTGCCCAATCTTAAGCAGCTGCTGAACGGCTGGATAGAGATTTTGTGTTAAGTCTGTAGGAATTCCAACATTTTGCAATTGTCGTATTTAAACTACTACCGAGGTGACACATTTCCTCAGACATGATAGTATTTTAAAGGATGAATCAATGAGGCGGCCCAATGCCTTTTGACCTACTGTCTTTTCCATTCAAATTATATATTGACTTTCAAGGTCTTCTGAGTAGAGTTGTTAGGAATGTGAAAAAGGAACACAAGGAGTTAATTCTTGCCTTTATAATGCCTACTTTTGTAGGAATGCTTGCAGAGTTAGTGTGCCTCCACCACCAGGAGGCCAAGCCACTCTAGGTCCCGCCCTCCACCCCCAGCTCCAGCCCCAGCCCACTAGACCAGGCTGACAGCTGGCAAGTGTCAACGTCCCATGACCACGGGCCAGGTATGAGCGCTGTTCAGAAGTGCTGCTGGGCAGAGGGGGTCGCCTCATCTCCACCACTCGGAAGCACCTCCCGTTTATCAAAACAAGAAGTCAACTGTCTTCCTTTTCACTGTAGCTGAGAGCAAGGCACAGCCTGGATAACTGGATAGAGAGGAAGATTCGCACAGTCTGGTCATTGCCAACACCACAGACAACTGGTACCCCCAGCCGATAGGTGTAACACACGTTTCAGAAGATGCCCGTTGGTCAGATGCAGATTCCTGAGGAATCCATGTCCCCTTGCTGCCGAAGCCAATCCTTCACTGTAATTTATACGAAACCCTGAACTAAACAAAATCTATGCGACTGAATTAACCCTAACTGTCTACTATTCAATAATGCCACTAGGCAAAATAAGAGTGATAGAGAAATTGTGTTCAGTGATAAAAAACAAAGAAAAGTGTAATGTTTCCATAAAAATGAGTGGCCTATATAATCTTACCTGCTTATTAGTATCGCATGATTCAGGCTTTAATCACAACTTTCACTTTATGAAATAGACATTACCTAAATAACGTACTAATCCTGGGTATTTCTCAGTAAGTGTGCGCCGCTTTTGACAACCTGACCGCGGGGCCGTCCTTCCTGGACCACGTGGGGCCAGTTTCGGCCAATGGCTTGTGAGAGGACACAGTGGATCATTCCGGGCCAGCGCATTTGTTGCTGGTTCCAGGCTGCCTGCACCTCTTCCCTCTGCTGTAGTTCCCAGAGATGCTTCACGTGGAAGTCTGGGTCTTGGGGCATCGTGGCCCCAGCCACGCCCCAGACGGGAGATGTGAGCCAGAAATGAACCTTTGTTGTCTCTAGCTACCGAGAATTCAGGGGTGGTTTTTGTTTTTCTGGCTTTTTTTTCTCCGTCATCACAGAATAACCTAAGTTGATCCTGACCTATTTGGGTAGCTTTCCTGAGTAGATGAAATCTAGAAAGCCCCACCTTCGTTGACTTTTTCCTGAAAATTCTGCGCTACGAATGAGAAAACTAGCATCCGAAAGAAGCTGAGAGCTGCTTCTTTCATTTCATTTCGCCTAAGAGGTTGGGGGAAAGCATCTGGCATAAATTTAAACAATAGTATGCTTTTGAAAAAAAATGGTTGTCGTGGTTTTCACAAGGAGAAAAAAAAGAAGAACCTCCCGCAGGTTGATTCGGGCAAGATGGCAAATACTGTATCATAAGAAATGCTGTTTCTGCTGCCACTTTTCCAGGTTGTGAAACGACCTGTTTATGGTGCAGACCTGGCTTCTCCTGCGCCTGTCGTTGCGTTTTCCCCGCACCGCGCCGCCGTGCGCCGAGGGGAGGGCAGCAATGCGACCTCCCATCCAGCCACCGCCACCTCCCTTGACGCATCCTCTCATCTCACAGCTCGCGCAAGTCCCTGCCTCAGACACGTCAGCTGTCAGCCCAGAGAGACTTCGTCTTCGGGGGGAAACTGCCGGAAGTAGCAGAAAGGGTACGTTTGTGACGCTGGTTGCACTTGTCGTTCGGTCTCTGTGTCTTCAGCCAGTTCCTGGATGCGACACGCCCAACTGTGTGCTGTCACCCACACCTGACTCATCTCTGCACAGCAGACTTCTGAAACTTCCCCAAGCCTAGAGACCGTTCAGGGAAAACAGTCGCTCTGTTGTTAGCGCCCCAGCACCTGGGCAGCCGGCTTCCCTCGTGTGTCTCTTGGTGCGGCTGTCCCCACGCTGCTCAGTCTCTCAATAGTTCCTCTTCGGTTGTCTAAAAACGCGACAAAGTCTCCAACTGACTAGTGCGTCTCCTCCAGTGTTCTTGCCAGACTTACGGGTGTATTCCCCGCATACATGCTAAAGGTGATTTCCGTGGGATGTGGAAGAAACAGGGGGTATGTGCTGGCAGTACTGAAGTGGAAGCATGCCATTTTTACTGCAAATGACGCATAAACGGGTAAGCGTGCTGTGTTCGTTTGCTTGGGCATCTGCAAGAAGTGTCCCAAACTGAGTGGCTTAAACAACAGAAATGTATTATTGTCTTGAAGTTCTGGAAGCTGGAAGTCCAAGATGGAGGTGTCGGCAGGGCTAGTTCCTTTCGAGGCTGTGGCAGAGAATATGTCCCAGGCCTCCCTCCAGCTTCCTGTGGTTTGCAACCACTGGCGTTCCTTGGCTTGCAGATGCTTCATCTCAATCTCTGCCTTCATCTGCACATGGTATTTTTCGTGTGTGTGTGTCTGTGTCTCTGTCCAACTGTCCCCTTTTATAAGGACACCATCCACATTGCATCAGGGCCCAACCTACTCTTGTGTGACCTCATCTTAACTGATGGCATCTGCAATGACCCTATTTCCTGATAATGTCATATGCTTGTGTACTTTGGTTTAGGACTTCAGCATACGAATTTTATCAGTCTGGAGGTATTGTTCAGATATTATTTAAATGTCACAATTAGTGGTTCATGTGCACAGTTGTCTGTATGTATGTACAGATATACCTCTTTTATATGGCCTAGTGGGGCACAAGAATTTCCATGTCTGTGAATTTCCCAGCAACTCGAGATTAGCCTTTTAGCATTAAGTACTTTAAATGTAGGTGAAATCATTTTAGATAGAGAGCTGCTTAAATACATAAAGCATTTTGTTGTTTTGTAATCAGGGCGCAGAGCTATGCATATTTCTCTCTAGTGAGATTGTGAACTCCGGGAAGAAGATGAAAGTAAATTGCTCATCTAGATGTTCCCGGCGTCTGGCGTAGTGTCTCTCATGAACTACGAGCTTAATAAATGCGTTTGGAATTAAACTG